CAACCTTAGCACCACAAATGATCACCTTGCGACGGTACTCAGTACATTTCATTCTTTAGAAATATTAAGCTTGTCACATAGCGGGCTTGATAACACATACCTACCTCATACTAGTTGCTTAAATTCCACGCTATCTACTAATATACAACACCAAGATTTGAGTAACAATCTATTTAAAGGAGGCATTCCATGCTTTCTCTGTAACATGACTTCATTGCATTTTCTTGATCTTTTTTCCAACCAATACACCTCATTGGACCCTCATTTTCTTCTGTCGAGAAATCTTCAATATCTCAACCTTGAAGGTAACTCACTTAATTACAGCACAGATTGGAGATCTGATCTGCTGTGGGATAAATGCCACTTGAAATCATTGAACCTAGGGAATAATCATTTTCATGGAGATATCTAGGTATTATTAATTAAAAATTTATCGAGATGTTGGAGCCACAACTTGGAAAATTTGGAGTTGTGGAGTAATGATTTTCACGGGCAGTTTCCTAAAGAACTTGGTGAACTGAAGCAGCTAAAGGAGTTAGATTTGTCTAATAACAAGTTGACTGGTCCAATCCCAATAAATTTATCAAGATGCTGGAGCCACAACATGGAGAACCTAGAGTTGTGGAGTAATCATTTTGACGGGTAGTTGCCTGAAGAACTTGGCAAACTGAAGTAGTTATAATGGTTAAATTTGTTTGATAACAAGTTGTCTGGTCCAATTCCAACTATTGTGGGACAACTTTCAGATTTGGAGTGGATTGACATATATGGTAATACCTTTGCAGGTACGCTCATAGAGGCCCACTTTGAGAAGCTATTCAAATTTAAAGGATTTAGGATTGGGTCTAACATATTAACATTCAGAGTGGGAGATGATTGGACCCCTCATTTTCAACTAAAATCCCTTTATATGTCATCCATTGATATCGAAGGCCAATTTCCACAGTGGCTTTAAACACAAAAATCACTACACTATTTGTATCTATCTAATTGTAGCATTAGAGGCATGCTGCCGAAATGGCTCCATTCCATAAAAATATGACTGATTTAGACATATCCAACAACCATATTGATGGATCTATTTCAAATCTTCCTTTCAGAATCCAAGTTTGAGATCTATCAAATAACGTGATAACTGGTTCGATATCCCCTTCCTTATGCCAACTGAGAGATTTGTTTTATCTGTGTCTCTCCAAGAATCTATTGTCAGGTCACCTTCCACAATGTTGGGCTAACTTATCTTACTTAAGGGTTGCAACATTGTCATCTAATAAGCTTTCTGGGCCCATTCCAAACACCATTAGTGGAGCTTACTCGTTGGGATGGTTGCAACTGAGTAACAACAGTTTTATAAGGAAACTCCCTCCAAATTTGAAAAATTACACCCAGTTAATGGGTTTGGATATTGAAGACAACAAGTTATCAGGGAAAGTTCCAGAATGGATTGGAAACAATCTGCTTAATCTGGCAATTCTTATGCTAAGGAACAACAAATTCTACGGAGACATTCCATCCTCTTTCTGTCAGATGTCCAAACTTCAAATAATGGACCTTGCAAACAACCAGTTGACCGGAAACATCTCACGTTGCTTTGGCAATTTTTCGGGAATGGTCCACAATAAAACCACTCGCGGTGAGCATTCATTCATATAACACTTTCATGATATTATTCGTGTATTCAACATTTCTTAGTTCGTTACTGATGATCTAAGAGTTAGTTGTAGGAAATGATTTTTTTTTTTTAAATTGTTCATTTTGATCAATAAATAAACTTTTTTTTTTAAAAAAAAAGTTAGTCTTGTGGGGTGAGGTATTTTCCTCAAGTATAAGCCAAAAAAAAAAAAAGATTTATTTTTTTCTATAAAAGGAAGCTAAATGTGACTTGATCGTGACAGTGATAAATAGTAAATTTTGCAGTGATCGAGCAATGATCCAATTTTTTTGTAGCAATTTTTATTATAAGAATAGTTATGTAAACACTAGTATAGACATTGTTTGCACAAAGGAAAATATATATACAAAAAATGTCTGTCTTGTAGCAATTGAAAACTATGGGCTCAATGCATTAAGTGAAGTCTTGAAGGGAGTGGTGCTGGAGTATAGCGAAAATACACGATTCTTGGTCAATTTTGATCTTTCAAGTAATCAACTAGTTGGAGAAATCCCTTTGGAGACTTGATCGGTCTCAATTTGTCTCATAATCATCTAAGAGGACAAATCCCATTAAAGATTGGAGATATGGTCTCTCACGAATCACTTGATCTTTCCAACAACTATTTGTTTGGAACAATTCCAGAGAGCTTATCGAAGTTGACCTTTCTGAGTCATTTGAACTTGTCCAACAATAATTTGTCTGGGCGTATCCCGATGGGACCTCAACTTCAAACACTCAACGAAAGTTCGGATTATGAAGGAAACCCTGGACTATGTGGGCACCATTGGCCCAACAATGCGAAGTTAATAGAACATCGACAAAAGGTAAAAATAGTGGGGAGCATGGTGATGATGGAAATGCAGTCGATAAGTTATACATCTATGAATTTGTAGTTGGTGGTTTTGCCACTGAATGCCACTGGATTATGGGGTTACTTTGGAGTTTTGATCTTCAAAAAGAGTTGGCGGCAGACACTGTTCGGGTGGATGGATGCTCTGTTGAAAAAAATGATGGGTTGGAGTTAGACTGCTATAGCTTGAGTTTACAAGGGGACTTTGCAACTTTGTATCATATTGAATTGTCTTTTAAGTTGTATCCTTGTGTTTGATGTGATCTTTGTGGTGTGTTTGATGTTGGTGTTACATGTATTGTTTTAAGGGTTATAAGTTTGATGTGGATTTTTTTTTTTTAAGTTCATTTTTGTATAACTTGTAAAGTGTACGTGTGATGCACGTCATGCATAATATATATAGTTCTTTAGCTTTTAAATTTTGCATTTATATATTTTTATAATTTATTCATTTTTTTCATCACTATTTTTATTTAATACAAAATTGTGCTTTGCATAATAATACGTAACAAAATATTTTCAAAGTTGAAACATAATTTTTTAATCAGAGTAACATTTTAAAGTCACTAGTAAAGTGCACGTGACTAGTAAAGTGCACGTGCATCGCACGTGGTGATAAATATTTTTTGCCGATTGAATTCAGTAAAATTAATTGATTATTTAAGTAAACATATCATTGCAGGAATGAAGTAAAATATAGAATAAATGAGCTTCTAATGTTTTTTTTTCTTAAATAACATAATGACGTCCTAATATAAAAAGAATGAAATAACATATTACAACTCCAACAAAAATATAGTCTCTAATGGAAAAAATACTAAACAACTAAATAAGGACCTAATGAATATTATGGATGTATTAGTTATTTTATTTAATTATAATAGATGATTAAAGAGTGATTTTTTTCATTTTGGTTTTGACATTTTCATAAGAAACATTAATACTAGTTGTAGTCCAGTACATCAATAGTGTTGCAAATTTTTTCTTAATTCATTTGACAAAACGTCTACATTATTCACTAACATATAAATATACTGGCCAAACATATAGTCAAACTTCATTATTGTATGATCTTAAAAGGTATTCAATCACCGACTTGTCTGAAAAAAAATTTATCATGCCCTGAATGATTTTTTTCAATGTTATTTATTTGGAAGGCAAACGAACTATATAACCTATTGCTTGCAAATCATTGACTATCTTGGTTGTTGCAATAATTTTAGTGTTGTTTATCATAATATCTTTCACTACAGTACTTATGTGCCTAATAACATCTTTAATGTTTTTATTGTCCAATTTTTTTTTTTGCATCATACATAATGCTTCGTAAATTCAAGATAAAGATCCTTTCTTGGAAAAAAAAAGGCAAAACAACAAAACAAAGCAAAACAATGAGACAATATTAAGAAAGATATCATTAATTAAAATATATGTAAGATAAGAATTAAAATTCTATTATATTATGATACTCTTAGTCGCTCTGTGAACTATATTATTACGCAGTTATTATTAACATTTACGTTATGTACTACAAAGTTTTTATTTTTTTAATTATTTAAAATTCTTGATAATGTAGGATCATATTTATGAGACCTAATTTTTTACGGAGTTCATATATTTAGACGTTAGCAAAAAAGAAAGTAGTAATTTTAAAAGACATTTGTTTCTAGATAGTAGTATTCATATTTCTGTAAGAAAATAAGTACTTTTATTTTTCCTATTGATTTACTATCGTGTATTTGTTTCTTATTCTATTTACAAATAATATTTATTTATTAAAAGAATTAGATCACATTTATATGAATTGCGTCATTTTTTTTTTGTACATACTTTATATAATGAAGTTGCAATCAAATATCTTATTTATTAGACTACAACTAATATAATCAAGTAAGATAAATACTATTTAATATTACTTCTTTATTTATTTATAATAATAACATATTTGAAAAAATGTACTTTTGTACTGGATAGAAGATTAAAAAGTTTATGATTTTTTCATTGTTTGATAAAATATTATGTAATTACCTCATTTTCGTATTCGTTGAAAATATATGTTATATGTTACAATAATTAAGGTGTTTCTTTCATGCAATAACTGAATAATTGTTTAAAATATAACACATTTATTTCTCACTTTAATTCACATAGTTAATGTTGGTAATAGTTGTGAGTTTACATATATTTTGTATGTTTTTCTTATTTGTATGATTAGAACCCTCCTTTTCAACTAAAATCCCTTTATATGTCATCATCCATTGATATCGGAGGCTAATTTCCATAGTGGCTTCAAATATAAAAATCACTACACTATTTGCATCTATCTAATTGTAGCATTTGAGGCATGCTGCCGAGATGGCTCCATTCCATAACAAATCTGACTGAGTTAAACCTATCCAACAACCATATTGATGGATCTATTCCAAATCTTCCTTTCAAAATCCAAGTTTTAGACCTATCAAATAATGCGATAACTAGTTCGATACCCGATTCCTTATGCCACAATGTTGGGCTAACTTATCTTACATAAAGGTTGCAATATTATCATCTAATAAGCTTTTGGGGCCCATTCCAAGCTCCATTGGTGGAGCTTACTCGTTGGGATGGTTGCAACAGAGTAACAACAGTTTTATAAGGCAACACCCCCAAAATTTGGAGAATTGCACCCAGTTAATGGGTTTGGATATTGGAGACAACAAGTTACCAGAGAAAGTTCCGGAATGGATTGGAAACAATATGCTTAATCTGGCAATTCTTAGGCTAAGGTACAACAAATTATACGGAGACATTCGATCCTCTTTCTGTCAGATGTCCAAACTTCAAATAATGGACCTCGCAAACAACCGGTTGACCGGAAACATCTCTCGTTGATTTGGCAATTCTTCGGGAATGGTCCACAATAAAACCACTTCTGGTGAGCATTCGTTCATATAACACTTTCATGATATTATTGGTGTATTCAATATTTCTTACTTCGTTACTGATGATCTAAGAGTTACTTGGAGTAAATGTATTTTTTTAATTTATTTATTTTGATCACTAAATCAATTTTTTTTTAAAAGTTAGTCTTGTGGGGTGGGGGTATTTTCCTCAAGTATAAGCAAAAAAAAAAAAAGATTTATTTTTTTTCAATAAAAGGAAGCTAAATGTGACTTGATCGTGACAGTAATAAATAGTATACAATTTGTTTGTAGCAACTTTTATTACAAAAATAGTTATGTAAACACTAGTATAGACATTTTTTGCACAAAGGAAAATATATATAAAAAAAATGTCTGTCTTGTAGCAATTGAAAGATACTATAGGCTCAATGCATTAAGTGAAGTCTTGAAGGGAGTGGTGCTGGAGTATAGAGAAAATACACGATTCTTGGTAAATTTTGATCTTTCAAGTAATCAACTAGTTGGAGAAATCCCTTTTGGAGCTGATAAACCTCACTGACTTGATCAGTCTCAATTTGTCTCATAATCATCTGAGAGGACAAATCCCATTAAAGATTGGAGATATGGTGTCTCTCGAATCACTTGATCTTTCCAACAACTATTTGTTTGGAACAGTTCCAGAGAGCTTATCAAAGTTGACCTTTTGAGTAATTTGAACTTGTCCAACAACAATTTGTCTGGGAGTATTCCGAATGGACCTCAACTTCAAAAACTCAACAGAAGTTCGGATTATGAGGGAAACCCTGGACTATGTGAAGCTCTATTGGCCCAACAATGCGAAGTTAATAGAACATCGTCGAAAGGTAAAAATGGTGGGGAGCATGGTGATGATGGAAATGCAGTCCATAAGTTATACCTTTATGACTTTGTAGTTGGTGGTTTTGCCCCTGGATTATGGGGTTACTTTGGTGTTTTGATCTTCAAAAAGAGTTGGCGACAGGCTCTATTTGGGTGGATGGGTGCTCTATTGAAGAAAATGATGGGGCGGAGTTAGACTGCTATAGCTTGAGTTACAAGGAGATTTTGCAACTTTGAATCATATTGAATTGTCCCTTTTCAAGGTGTGGTTGTAGTATTTTTTAAGTTGTATGCTTGTGTTTGATGTGGTCTTTGTGGTGTGTTTGATGTTGGTGTTATATGTATTGCTTTAAGAGTTATAAGTTTAATGTGGATTTTTTTTTAAGTTCGATATTGTATAACTTGTAAAGTGTACGTGTGATGCACGTCATGCATAATATATAGTTATTTAGCTTTTAAATTATGCATTTACATATTTATATAATTTATTCATTTATTTATTACTATTTTTAATTAATAGACAATTGTGCTCTGCATAATAAGACGTAACAAAATGTTTTCAAAGTTGAAACATAATTTTTTAATAAATGTGACATTTTAAAGTCACTAGTAAAGTGCACGTGCATCGCACGTGGTGATAAATGTTTTTTGTCGATTGAATTCAGTAAAATAAAGTAATTAATTTATTAAACATATCATTGCAGGATAAAGTAATATATAGAATAAAGGAGCTTCTAATGTTTTTTTTTTTAATAACATAATGATGTCCTAATATAAAAAGAATGAAATAACATATTACAATTCCAACAAAAGGATTTGAGTAATGCTACATGACCAACCTAGTGTACAACTAGGTTGACAACATAAGTGTAAACACTCATAAAATAAAAAATAAAAAAAAATACAAAAGTGGATATTTACAATTGTGTTGTCAACCTAGTTGTACACTAGGTTGGCAATGTAGCATTTTTCAAAGGATTTTGCTACTTTGCCACCCTCCATTACAACATGGTTTACAACCATGTGTAATGGAGACATTAAAAATGCAATAATGCACATTTTGCAATGCCTCCATTACACATGGTTGTAAACCATGTTGTAATGGAGGGTGGCTATGTAGCATCACCCCAACAAAAATATAGTCTCTAATGGAAAAGAATTCTAAATAACTAAATAAGGACCTAATGAATATTATAGATGCATTAGTTATTTTAATTAATTATTTTAGATGATTAAAGAGTGATTTTTTTCATTTTGGTTTTGATGTTTTCATATGAAACATTCATACTCGTTGGAGCCCAGTATATCAATAGTGTTGCAAAATTCTTCTTAATTCATTTGACAAAACGTCTACATTATTCAATCACTTATAAATATTCTGGTCAAGCATATAGTCAAACTTCATGATTGTATGATCTTATAAGGTATTCAATCACCGACTTCTCTGAAAGAAATTTTATCATGCCATGAATGACTTTTTTCAATGTTATTTATTTGAAAGGAAAACGAACTATATAACCTATTGTTTGCAAATCATTGACCATCTTGGTTGTTGTAATGATTTTAGAGTTGATCATAATATCTTTCACTTTCCTTCGAATTTGCAGTACTTATGTGCCTACTAACATCTTTAATGTTTTTATTGTCAATTTTTTTTTTTAGCATAAGACATAATGCTTCAAAAAATCAAGATAAAGATACTTTTTTGGAAAAAAAATAGCAAAACAACAAAACAAAACAAAACTATGAGACAATATTAAGAAACATATCATTTGTTAAAATATATGTAAGATAAGAATTAAAATTCTATTATATTATGATACTCTTATTCGCACTGTGTACTTTATTCTTACGAAGTTATTATTAACATTTACGTCATGTATTTCAAAGTTTCTATTTTTTTTTTTTAATTATTTAAAGTTCTTGATAATGTAGGATCATATTTATGAGACCTAATTTCTGACAGAGTTCATATATTTAGATGCTAGCAAAAAAAGAAAGTAGTAATTTCAAAAGACTTTTGTTTCGAGATATTAGTATTCATATTTCTCTAAGAAAATACGTACTTTTATTTTTCCTATTGAATTACTATCGTGTAACACCCCGCTATTTCATGGATTTCAGAGTGCGCTTTTCGCAAATTTTCTAAATAAATAAATAAATAAATAAAATATTTATTTTGTGAAATCTGATTCGGGGTGCTACCATAAAATCTGACTTATTCTGAAAACCGTTATTTTAGTTTAAAAATAAAACGGTTATATAACATGTGTTGATAAACGGATTTGATCAACCTTTTTAAATGTTAAACTCTTGGATTCACGTGGAAATGATGCGATTTAATTGATTAAGCGTGGAGTATTTAGTAACTGACTCAAGTCGGTTACTCGGATTTGAGGTCGGTTTTTGGTAGTACAGTGATGTTGAAGAATCGACTAAAACCGAGGTGATAAATGCAGAATTTAATTGTGACGCCCCGTTCGTTCATGAATAATTTTAGATTATTATTATTATCAGTATAAT